CACACACACACACACACACACACACACACACACACACACAGGCATGTCCACACACACTTGTAGACATTCTTCCTCTGTACTTCTACACAACACACTCCAGCCGCTACAGCAGACACTCCATGCTGTGGATCGCTCGTGGGCAGGACTCAGTGAGAGAAAGAGTGACACAACATAAACCAAGAGTCCTTCCAAAGAGAGAAACAAGAGAAAAGAAACGCAAACTTTAGAAGCAGACAGAGAGTCATAGAGACAGAGAGAAAAAGAGTGTGAGCGTGGAAGAAGAGAAAAGGAGTGATTGACGATGCAACTGGGTGAGACAAACGCTCTTTGTGCAGTCCAGCAGCAGCAACACTGAAACAGAGGCTGTGTGCGTGAGAGTGCAGAGAGAGGAAGGAGGCCTGGTGATAGAGAGCAATCAGAGCACAAGAGCCTGGCTGAGAGAAAAGGGGAAGGACAGGGACAGAGATGCTCTGATAAGTTTTCCCCCTGAGGGGAAAGACCCTCAAACATCAAGAACCCCGGATAGACCCCACATCCAGGGTGTCACCCTGACCCTGAACCCCAGTGCTTTTTATGGCAGGTTAACCAAAAATGTGACGTTTCTATTTGCGTCCCTCCACAGCAAACACAACTGAATGTGTGTGTAAGTGTTTGTGTTAAAGAATGAGGGAAATTTAGGAATGTGAGAGGCAGCTTGTCCAGACAGGAAAAGAACGGCATGAAGGAGGAGTCCTCATATCTACAGCTGTCTCTCTCTGTCCACACAAACACACACAGCACAACGCCTTGCGGGTGTACGACATATTTTAGGGATGAGGACTTACCGATTGATTTGACATATATGTATATCTGGTTATCTGCTGAGGTCGGTCAGAGACCAGCAGTCATGTCTGGGACCATCTCCCATCCGGTGGAGGACACTGTCCCACTTGGGGATAAACGCTGCACAGGCTCTTGGTGCTGAATACCAGTCATGTTCACGCAGCTTGCTAACTAGACCGTTTAGTAAATACAAAAAATGGAAACAGAATTTCATTCACAATGGAGCTGAAAGCGTTAAAGTTCACACATTGTGCCCCTTTTAGCTAATAAATGCAAGTGTCACTTGTCCCCACAGTGTGTCTTTACTTTCTTAAAGAATGCTAATTTCAACATCACTGTGGAACTCCTCGTGGCTTTAGGGGCTGTGTCCCTCTGAAAACCAACCAGCTGCTGTGAACCCTTACAGGAATCATCTGTGCATTAGCATATTGAACCCATTTAAACAATACTAGGCTAGATCGTCCAATTGTGATTTCTGTGCTTGGAACGCTACTGACCACAGTGCAGCGTAAGCTCAGCTGCTTTCTCTGTTACAGAGAAGTTATTTGTGCTCCTTCACCCCTGACTGCACGCGTGTAGTTTAACACTAATCTGCGTAGTTTATAGCTGTAGCTATAGTGGGCGGCCATTCTTCAGCAGCTTAGGCTGATAATGTTTGCTGCTGCTTCCTGTGTATGCAGTCTTTAGTCAGGCTGGGAGCAAAGTGCTGTATGTACTGTATGAGCACAGTGTGCAGTGCCGTAGTAGTAGAGCATTAAAAACGGTAAGCGACTGACAGTTGAAAGAAGTAAAGCCGAGCGGTGAGGCCTGCCACATGGGTGCAAACGCCCAGATCGCTGAGTTCCTGATTCAGCTGCCAGCTGGCTGGACCACGTGCTGCATGTCATTTGACGTCTCTCTTCACCCACATGTCCTGTTTCGCTTTGTTAGCCCAATGCAGGAATAAAAATGCCCAGTTTGGTTTATGGGAAAGCATTACATATTTGAAACACTTCTTTTGTTAAATGACCAAAAAACATCTTTGTAGACAAACCATGTTTATATTTCTCAAAGTAAGATGTGAGCAGTTCTACATGACTGTCTGCACTGGAACACAGTGCCATGTGCTTCAGGCGTCTCATTCAACTAGCTGTTGTGTTATCTATGCTTTCGCCTCTTGCCTTTCTTACTTGGTCCTTATTAAGAGCTGCTTGATTACCAAACAGCGCTTGCAGACAGCGAGATGTTTACGTGGTGAGTAGTAGTTACCATGGCTACCTCTGCTGTTAGCCTGAATGACTCTGACCTTGACGTTGTGTTGGTGGAGAGGTGGGGCAGTAGTGGCCATTTTTGTTCAATTTCTTGCCATCTATCAGGCTACAAAAGATTCTGCTTTAAGTCGGCATCGTCACAGTCAAAGGCCTGTCATCTAGAAGACTATCAATACAAGCCCTCATGTACACACACACACACNTTGGAGACCTTCTAAATCAAGCGGTCACGTCAGACTTGAGTGGACTGCAGGACGTTCTGATGTTTGTCAAGGTGCTGTGTTGTGGATTTCACCTACTTTTTAACTGTTTCCTGATGGGCTTTTCAGGATCCAGCCAGCGCTGTAAAATATTGATTGAGAGACACTTAGAGACACCATAAAGCACAACTACACATTGTGAATTATTCACCAGCGACCACACACGTGCACACCTGTCAGAAACACTCCATGCAGATAGAAACACACACCACTATGCACACTAGAGCATATAGGAAATGTACACTGTTCATTGTTATGCACAGACAGACGTATTCATTATGCGCTAGTCACTTCTATTAAACTGATGCAAATATAGGGCAGCGGCTCTAATGCTGTCCTGCAGGCAAACGTAAGTATCCTCATGTGCACACGTAAGAGCCTTAAAGATGAGCTTTTCATTGAATGTTGAAGACGCATAGATGAGACAACTTTCAGACGCCGGTACATGGCTGAGCTTCCTATAAACGTACCTAACCTGCTGTCATTCTCACACACACACACACACACACACACACACTCTTGTAGACTGTAAACAGCAAACGAACCGGTGCATCTGAGGAGTCATCAGCCAAGTGCAGGCCAAAGTAGTCGCTCTCGGTCAGCTCCAGGTGCTTAAAGACAGCATCCAGCAGCACCTGGCCGTCGTCCGACTTCTACAGAGAAAAACAAAGATTGAGTTCAGTACTTGCTGTTCAGGATGCTACTGGATCACAGGCCCGCTCAGTGAAAGGTCACAGAAGGAACAGTGAGAGAAGCAGGGAAGACTGAAGCGTGGTGCACACGAGTCCACATTTCCCACCACAGACATCTAAATCATTTAAACACACACTGCTACAGAAACATTTCACCCATTTTAAATTCTGGTGCCATTTGTCCATGTTGAGCCATATTAAATATCCTTGAAACCACACAGAGAGGAACATGTATGCAGGATTAAGATGATGTATGCTTGTAAGCTATAATTTGTATTTGTCCATGTTTTTCTTCCTAGCAATGGAGCAAACTTCAATAACCCTAAAATCACCAAGAACTACGTTATATGAAGTGCATTTCATTCACATATAGAAACGAAGGAGCGGTGATGATTGGTGTTGTCTTGCAAACAGTGGCTGACATGCTCCTGTGACTACAACATCTGACACGCAACGAGCTGAGGATGGAAGACTTTTAAACAAGCATTGTGGGCAATAATTTGATGAGGATAGTAAGAAGATTAGAAGGCAGCAGATAGAGAAGAGCCACAGGTTTATGAGTAACAGTGCCATGGTTTGAAAACCAAAAACAAAAACTGTGGTCAAAGGAAAAAGAAGAAGTAAGAGAATTTACCACCGACGCTACATCATGTCTGATGCTTGCATAAGGCTGACGGATGGAAAGAGCAGCAGTTCAAGGAAATGGTTCAATTCAAGTGAATCAATGACCAAGTTCTGCTTTTGCTTCGTTACTAAATCAACTGTTTCTGGTTCAGTACTAATAGCCATTTACTGTCGTTGAATAGGACATGAAGTTACATGAAACAAATAATCAGCTGGACCTTGAAATCAATGACAATCATCTACTTTGTGGGTAGGACTGTCTTTCCCACTTTTAAAACAAGTAGAATGCCGTTTTATCCTTGAATTTTATTTACTCTGTAAGTGGTCCCACAATGGTGTAAAAAAATTACACAAGGGTATAATAAAAAAATTTAAAAAGACATTCCCCTTTATAATAGAGTCAATGGAGTCACCTAAAAAAGAGATGAAGGGCACTAGAAAGGGAGGAATACTTCATCAAACACATCGTTAATATTACATCGTTTCCTACGAGTGTCGGGAGGCCACAGGATCAACTGTGGGAGCAGAACTGTACACCTGATCCTGCTGCAGCTTGGAGGCTGCAGGAGAGCCTGAGATAGAGGAACTCCATCAGAGCTTCCCATGAGACACACACTCTCACACACACACACACACACTCATACATACACACACACAGACACACTCA